GGACTCTATTCAGGCTTATTTTTTACATATGCATTTAATGTATAGAGCTCTTCAGTTTCCTTTAATCTGAAACAGTTCTGTAATCTTCCTCTAGTACTTTTTTATTAACCGTGTATTCAGTTAGGTACTGTTCGTAACACAAAGGTAAGAAGGCTCTGCCTACAAGGAATTTAGATTATGCAATTTACTGTTGTTTGTAATTATTAACTGTAGTTTAATGTAGTTTCTAATTATTGTACAGATTTATGTGACTAGCTGTGTTTAATTATTTCTGTTAATTCAAAGAAGGGAGCTAAGGATACACATTGGAGCTTCGATCGAACAGAGGTACCGGGAGAGGCCGTGGAAAACTTGTGCCATTCCCCTCAGTAATAAACTGGCAAACAGTAAATGTAAAAGTAGAAAATTAAGACTTTTGCATTATTTTTAAACCCTTTTTGTTGACACTAAAATACATAAAGTACACTAGTTTTGACTGAATGATTTATTCACTTTTATATGTGTGAAACTGTCAGTGGTCAGGGTCTCAGGAAGTCCCCAATGAAGAGATGAGGACCTCAACTCGCAGCATTGCAAGAAAGATTTCAAGGCACATCAATGTGAGGCACAGTCAGATTTCTGAGGGTTAAGTAAGAGAAAATTGGAAAGGAACTTCAGCTTGAGGACCTGAAAGAGTTTTATCTCAGATAAAGAGGATCAGACTGCCCCATTCATAAAAGGAGATTGGTGTTTGTGGATTGGTGGGTCAAGGTCTTCTTGAACATTATCCCAGATTTTGTTTTACAGAATTACTCTGGGAGGAGATCTTATTGCTTGAGGGTACAATTTGTTCTCCATGAGAGAAATGTTTCTGTTTGGACATTTAGTTTTATGTAAGCTGTGCTGGAATCTAAGGTGAGTGACTGGAGATTTCTGGGCACTCAATAGTAGGTGAGTGTCCCTGTAAATCTCTTCTTCTGATGTCCTCTGTTTTGAAAGGGGCATGAAGATAGATTATGTAAATGTAGAACTAATTAACTGTTTTGCCAGCTTTTAGACAGTTACAGTACTCCATAAATAACTGCATACCTATGTGCAAAGCTGAGTGAATCTGACCCAACGTTTTAAGATAAAAAAGAGGATAGATGCAAAATGAAGACCAAACTTTGTCCTGCTTTTAATTACTTGCTGGGAATCTGTAGGACCAAATGAATAGTCACTGTCCTTTTAGGAAAAAAAAAAAAAAAAAGCACTTGAGTGCCTCAGAAGGAAACAGAAACCATGCTTTTAATGACTTTTATTGCCATTGATTAGTTTTGCTTTTTCCCAAGCTTCACATAGATAAGAATTTGTAGTACTCTTTTTATGTTTGACTTTTTTTGCTCAATATAATTCCTATGGTATTCATTTTTGTTGTTGCCTTGTCAATACTTGTTTTCTTATTGTTCTCTGTAATACTCCAGTGTACAAATATATCACAGTTCTTTGTCCATTCTTATATGCATCATGTACCCAGTTTTTGCTGTTACAAATAAAAATCTGTTGTGAATATTCTTATACCTGTCCTTTGAGGGAAGTAAACCTTTAATTCCTTAAGACTGGACCTGCTAGCCCTACATGGTGGGGCACACCTGTAATCCGAGCACTTAGGAGGCTGAGACAGGAGGATTGCCCTGAGTTTGAGGCCAACCTCAGCTACATAGTGAATTCAAGGTCAGCCTGAACTGCATAGTAAGACCCTGTCTCAAAAAACAAAACAAAACAGAAAAGACTGGACTTCGTGAGCCACAGGTTCATAGTGGCTGTAGCAATTTATATTCTGAATAGCAGGGTACTTAGTGTGATCACAGAGTATGAAATTTTAAAAAGTATTATAATTAAACATTGCCATTAACACCCACCCCACCACCACCACTACCACGATCCCCATACTTTCCTTTGTTTCTAGCACATAGCCCGTCATTCTTGTCACTTTGTAAATCAGTTGTGAAAGTTCTCTTTTGGTAATGTCTTTAGTTGTGTTGTCTTAGCTGCCTTGATGTCCTCAATGAGCTGAAAGCCTTTACCTTTCTTTTTCATTTTGACTTGGGGAAGAGCCAGAGGTTGCATGGTGCCAGAACCACTGAACAAGGTGAATGAGGACATACTGTAATTTTTTTTTGTTTTTTGTTTGTTTGTTTTGGTACCAGGAATCAAACTCAGGACCTTGTGCTTGCCAGGCAGGCGCTGTGCCACTGAGCTATATCCTTGGCCATCGCTGTAATGTTTTCATTTGGCAGAAATTGCCATAAATATTTTGACTTGATTCAGGACATGGAGGCAGCCATGACTACAGAACGAAAGAGAGGACTCTAGAACTGATTTAGAAAGTGACAAGAACAATGGGATAAGCGTATTTGAAGTGAGAAGGAGTGCTGGATTTTGAGGGTAATTATTGGCAATGCGTCTTTTACTGTAATAAATGTACAAAATTTAAACATTCCCTGTATTTTTTTTTTATCATACTATATCACAGTTGTAGTTGTGCTCTGTCCTAGCCAACACATCAAATTATCACACTGAAACTTTTATAATGGTATATCATTGTGGCTTTAATTTGCATTTTCCTAGGTGTAAGGATATTAAGCACCTTGTAAGGCTCTTATTGGGCTTTAGGGTAGCTCCTTCATTAGGTACCCATTTATACATTAACCATATTTTTAAACTGTAAGGTTGTCTGTCTTATTGACATATATGAGCTTTTAGTATATTCTGGATATGCATGTCTTGAGAGTACCTTCTGGCTTATGTATTTATTCCCTTGGGACTCTTTTAATGGTGTCTCTGACAAAGAGAAAGTTTTATGATTGTTGATAGGTGAACTTTTAAAATAAAACAATTATAATGTAGCTAATCCGTCAAGATAGATTTATTAATCAAAATTTGTGTATCTGTGGAACACTTTTTTGTTTTGTTTTTGGTGCTGAAGTTTGAACCCAGAACCTTGTGCATGCTTGGCACATGCTTTATCACTCAGCTACACCTGTCCCAAACCCAATCAAAATGTTTTTAAACCTGTGTGTGGTGGTTTGCTCCTCTCATTCTAGCATTCTGGCAAAAAGGATTGCAGTTCCAGCCCAGCCTGGACAATTTAGTGAGGCCCTGTCTCAAAATTTTCAAATGGATTGGACTAGGGATGTAGCTCAGTGGAAATGACCTGGATTCCATTCCCAGTATCTTGCAAAATAAGCAGATAACTACACACATGCACATACACACCCACACACACACCACCACCACCACCCGCACAAGAATCAGTTTTTAAGCCTTTTCAAACAGATTAGACCTTACTTTGAAAGAAAAGAGGGGGAAAACCCATAGAATATCTCCTTGGACCTTTGTTTTAATGGGAATGCTCAGGCAGCATTTATGAATCATGAAATCTCCATGGTTAAGGGCTTAATTGTGTTATTTTAAGCTCATAAATGTCAAGATTTGGGGAAGTGGGAAACCGTAAAACCGCAGTACCACTGAGCCTTTGAATTTTATTCTGGGAGAGATGTATTGTTTTGGTATGTTTGGATGTCAGCAGTCAGTTTAATCAAACCGTTTGTATACCTGTGATGCCACTTGTGGGTATTAGAGAAACAAGGGTCAGGAGAACTTGTTTTTAATATCACCTGTCATCTGTATGTGTGTCATTGCTAGAAGCAGTGAATGTATATGTCTCCCCTTTTCTGAAATGTTGTCTTTGAAATGAACAAGTTTTTAGTGAACTGGATGTCTGTTAGTTACAATCCAAAGTGTCATGTGAAAGTGTTATTTCCAAGACTTTACTAAACAACAATTTTCAAGTGAGCATATTTACATATTTCTTAAAATTAAGAACAAAATATGTAGCATACGTAAGAGTGCACAGAAATGATGACAGGTTTTGATGATAACAGAATAGCTTAAACTGGGAATCACAAACCAGACATGCTTGAGAGAAGTATAGATAGATGTGGCCTGACTGACAAAGGTAGAAAGTCTGTGTAGTGACTGAACAGAGAGCGAGGGAGGGAACAAAAGAATGGGTAGAAGTAGATTTTCTGTTACTGTGTTTTGAAAGGGGTTCCAACTTGTGCGTGTGTTTAAAAGTATTAGGTTACATAGTTAGGAAGTATTGAAACTAGAGGGAGGGAAGAGGATCTCCATCATCAGAGATGCTCAGTAGCTACTAGCCACCAAAATTTTGGAGGTGGGGTTGAGAAAGACAACACAAATGTTAAAAGAAGCAGAATTTTAAAGCTAGTGGTTTTTTAAAGTAGAAGTCCAGTATGTTAATTAGCATGGTCTCTGGTTGAAGGAAAAAGGTGAGGGTTAGGTGTAACATTAATCCCTGAGCTCTCTTGTTCTAATCCCTCCTTGTTCTACTCCCCCATTCCTCGCAGCACAGCCAAGGGAAGGCAATTTTAGAGCCATTAATCTGGTTCTGTGTTCCCTCTTTCTCTTGTCAGTCACCAGGCACCCCAGGTACAGCACGTACATCTTCCTCATGAAGGGCACACCTGTACTTCTCTCAGTTCTTTTTGCTTGTGAATTTATGCTCCCGTCCTTCCTACCCATAAGTGGTATTTTTGGAATCTGTTCATTCAAATTCAGTTGTCGTGTTTGGAAAATAATTGTGTATGTGCAAGACAGTTTTTAGTCTATATCATGCTCCTCTACCCTTAGATTTGTGGACTCTGAAGAAAAGCTATACGTAGTCCCCGATATGTGCTTCCCTGTACTGAGAGCCGTTGATGTATTCTGACATCTGCCTTCCTTTAATTTGTAATGGGGAAATGTTAGCTTAGATATGTAAATAGGCTTTTCCGTAGTCAGATAGTTAAACAGAGGCAGAGCTAGAACTAGATTGTGCATCATCTGGCTCCCTTATTAGTGTTTTTGTGCCTTTAATTGCATGGATATTTCTGAACTTTTGTTTTTGAAATAAACAGATTTTAATGAACCAAGGTCTAATCATTAAAATTAAAAATTCCATCCAAATTTATTCCTAGGTCTTTGAAGAAACTGGTTTTGATATCAAAGACTATATTTGTAAGGATGATTACATTGAACTGCGAATCAATGACCAACTTGCTCGTTTGTACATCATTCCAGGAATTCCAAAAGACACAAAATTTAATCCAAAAACCAGAAGAGAAATTCGGGTATGTAACAACTGAGAATACCTGCAGGTGGCTGGACAGTATCCAAATTGAACTAAAAATTCTTTTAAAACTCAATAATAATTAAATTAATTTTTTCTGTGTTTCAGAACATTGAGTGGTTCTCCATTGAGAAATTACCCTGTCACAGAAATGATATGACCCCAAAATCCAAACTTGGTTTGGCACCTAACAAATTTTTTATGGCCATTCCCTTTATCAGGTATATTCCTATTTTTTGAAATATAAAACTTCATGTTCTGATATTTTAGATTTTAAAAGTGAAGTTTCAATGTTTCCATAGGCCATTAAGGGACTGGCTTTCTCGAAGATTTGGGGATTCTTCAGACAGTGACAATGGATTTTCCTCAGCAGGTGGCACACCAGCTAAACCCACAGTGGAAAAACTGAGGTAAATAATAGTTCATATATTTTTATATTTAATATAAATGTATGTGTATGTATATATGTATATATATCTTTATATAGTTTTTAATACAGTAGCATTTTGCTTCTGAAGTTGACAGAGGTGTAAAATTTCTTCTTGCCGGGTACAGTGGCTCATGCCTGTAATCCCCGGAGGGATTACTCGGGAGGTTGAGGCAGGAGGAAACTAAAGTGAGTTTAAGGCCAGCCTGAACTGCATAGTGAGACCCTGTCTCAAAAAGACAAAAAAAAAAAAGATTTCTTCTTACAGATACTATTTTGTTACTGGTCTCATAGATAATAGAATACTGTTTTAAAGGGATTTTGATTGACATGAAAAAGGTTAATTGTAGTTGGAAAAAAGTTGGAGCTTCAGATGTATTGTATTTATTTGTATGTATTTGTAGTAATGTGTACAGTCCTTGTGAGGAGTTGGTACATGTACTTAACACATCCCACTTTCTTTCTTTCCCTTTCCCTCTCCTGCGTCCCCCTTCCTTCCATTTCTTATTCCCCTTTCTATTTGAGAAACGTATCTTCTTACTTCCTGTTACCTGTTTTATCTTGCTGTTTATATTTTGGGTTTTTGCTAGAAACGTTGTGATATTTAAGTTTGTGTGAGTCATTTATTTCACTAATATGGGTTTCAGCGTGCATTCATTTTCTGATAAATGTTGCGAGTTTGTCTTTCTTTGTGGCAGAGCAGTACTCCCATTATGTGTAAATACAACATTTTCTTTATTCATTCATCTGTTGATAGACATACAGGCTGCTTCCAAGATTTATTAGGAACTATGTATCTATAAACATGTGTCACTGTACTGTGATGACTTTAATTCTTGGGAAAATACCTAGAGGGGGAATAATGGGGTCAAATGGAATTTCTAGTTTTAGTTTTTTGAAGAGTCCCCATCCTGCTTTCCTTAGTGGTTTTACTGTTGCAGCAAAAATCAGAAGGATGCTCATGGGAGAACGAACATATTATTAGTATGTTATTGTGCTGGCAGAGGACAAACTGACCAGAAGTTAAGAAATGTCAGCCTGGAGCTGTCTATGTACTGAGGTTTTATACCTTACAGGTTTCCATAGCAACCACATTACCTCATTTTGGAAATTTACAGGAATTTACAAAGTTTAGGGCTTTCCAGTCACAAGATTTACATTTCCCTGATGTTCGTTAGCCAGGCAGGATGCAGCCAAATTCTAGCTTGCCCTACAGTTTATCTTACCTGTATGTTCCTCCAGATAACATCTTGTTCCTCTCTGAATGGGTTTATGGTTAACTAAGAGCGGAGGGGGTGAGGAGTGAGTTTATCTAAGCTTAGGTGACTTGTGAAATGGAGTTCTAAGAAAACACAATGAAGTCTCTTCTGCCGTGTCAGAACTAGTTTACATTCCCACCAGTAATGAAGAAGGGCTGCTTTTTCCCTGCAGCCGGCCTTGCCAGCATTTATTATTTGAGTTTTTTTTTTTTTTTGGTTTTTTCTCCGGTACCAGGAACCCAACTCATGACCTTGCGCTTGCCAGGCAGGTGCTTTTGCTGCTGAGGTAAATCCCCAGCCCCATTATTTGAGTTTTTGATGATGGCCATTATGTGTGGGGTAAGATGGAATCTTGAGTGTTATTTTAATTTGCATTTCTCTAATGGCTACTGATGTTGAGCCTTTCTCAACAGTTATTGGCCATTTTTATTTTTTCTGTAAGTTGTGTATTCATTTCACTTGCCTGTTTCTTTATTTGATCTTTTATGGGGAGGGTTCTAAGTTTTTTGAGCTCTTTGTATATTCTGGATATTGGTCCTCTGAGGAGTACCTGGCAAAATTTTTTCCCCATTCTATAGGTTGTCTTTTCAGTTGGTTGGTTGTTTCTTTTGCTATTTAGCTTTTTAATTTAATATGATCCCATTTGTTGTTTTTTTTGGTTCTATTTTCTGTGCATGCGGGGTTCTGTTCCGAAAGTTTTTGCCTATACCTGTGAGTTCAGACGTTTTACCTATTTTATCTTCCAGCAGGTTAAGTGTTTCTGTTTTAACTTTGCTCCCGTGTTTGACCCCTTTGTGAAATAGTGTACTCAGAAGGATACTAACTTGTACGTAGGTAGAATACTGGGAAAAAAAAAAAAACTTGTATTTTTTTTTTATTCTACTTTAGAGAATTGAGTTTCTGAAGATGGTTGCATCACAGTGTTGAGGTTTGTGTCTGTGTAGGGGAGATGAGGGATTCTGGTGAATAACTTTATCAAGTCAGCTGTGAAGACTTGGGCTTGGGTTTTTTTTTTTTTTTTTCTTAGCAACTGTGTATTATGAAGAGTGATTATTACATGGATGTAAAGTGTGAAGAATATATACTTGCTTGGAACTGGGTTGTTTCCAAATCACAGTTATAGGATAGAATGTGGAACTTCATTAAATACATACAGTTTTATAGTCGGCTTGCTCTAATTTTGCCTCAGTTAAATTCAGAAAAAGTTGAGCTTTACATTTTCTCTAATTTAGATGTTCTGTTTCTATTATAGAGATTCAAGAATTATAGTAAGTCATACCTATAGTGAATGTTCATTTTACATGCATAGTATTCCATTTTAGTTGGGTTTAATTAGGATAAGAGCTTGAACTAAATGCCATAGAATGATTTCTGCCTTTGAAAATTGATGATTATAATGACCCAGCTATATTCTCCTAGAAATGAGTGAAACAGTATAGAAGTAAGATAGATGGGAGTGCTGCCAGAAAGTTAGGAAATAGTGACAGTGCTTGAAAAAAAATTATATTAATGTTCATCTTTGGGAGAATCTAGTACTGCATACTATAATGTTCACTATGATTCCTCTACCTTTTAGTCCCAGGGTTTATGTTCTTGGTTCATGGGTAAAGAGATAATAAGACAACCTCTAACCAAATTTCAGGTTTCATATAGATGTCATATTTATATTTAGCAGGCATACTAATCTCTATGGTGATGTGTTGGAGGAAATGTCTCAATTTTGTCTGAAAGGATAGAAAGACTGAAATTTTATGCAGGTTTTACTTGGGATGGGAAGAAGATAATAATGTGGCTCTTGAGATCAGTAGCTCTGGGCTATACTATACATGTACATGGTACTGTGTAATTAGACTTAACTATGTGATGGACTACTGCATGGGTATAGCCTTTTAGAATTTCTTTTGAATGAGAATTGAAGACTGGGTCTTTATTATAATCTGACCATTCCTTGGCTTGTGACCTTAATTTCTGCTTTAGAAAATAGCTTACTTTCTCATGTGTTCTTATAAGATAGGCAGGGCCCTTAACTGACTTATGGAGGATCAGATTCCATACTTAAAACATTCTAATAAAAATACGAATTGTATACTATATCAAGAGAGGTCTTGAAACGAAGCTCCTTTGTTTCAAGTAATTTTAGAAATAACTATTTTCCTCAAATATTAAAGAATATAATCACTCAGGGAGGAAATGGTGTGAATAATTTTGAAAAGTCTGGGGTGAAAATAATAGATCATTTATTCATTAAAGAAATAGCTGGACTGGGATTGCAGCTCAGTGGTAGAGCTTTGCCTTGCATATTCAAGGCCCAAGATTCAGTTGTCAGTACTCTGCACAAAAAAGTATATATTCAGTACTTGAAATCGCAGGCAAAACGGACAAGAATCTCTGCCCCTGCCCCGTGGAACTTATAGTAAAGTATCGAGAGACAATAACAAGAGAGTAAAATATGTAGTTTCTAAGTTAAACTGTTTAAGTATTTAAAGAAGTCTAATTGAACGTTTTCTCATCGGATTTTTATATTTTATATTTTGGTATAGTCGAACCAAATTCCGCCACAGCCAGCAGTTATTTCCTGAAGGTTCTCCTGGAGACCAATGGGTGAAGCACAGGCAGCCAGTGCAGCAAAAGCCATACAATAACCATTCTGAAATGACTGATCTTTTAAAAGCAAAGGTAAGTGGTATACTTTAAAATTTTCAGAAATTTAGATCATTTGTTTTGTTTTGTTGTTTGGTTTTTAGAGCAGGTCTTGCTATGTAGTTTAGGTTGGCCTCAAACTTACGCTATCTTCCTGTCCCAGCCTCCCAAATGGTGTTATGATAGGCATATGCCACCATGCTTGGGTAGATCATTTTGTCTTTTAAGTCATTTTCAATTGGAAATGGCCTATTAACAGTGTATTACAAAATTTCATTTTCAGTCTTGTAGTATATGATGGTTCTAAAATTTATCCATTCTTGTCTTAATGGAAATTTTGTTTTCTTCCAGTTCTTTGCCTGTGTTTTTAAGTATATACTTGAAACAGTTTTCTCAAATTATTTATTTATATCTTCAGCAAGATATGAGAGTTCTAGCTGGGTGTGGTGGCATACACCTCTAATACCAGCACTCTGGGAGGCTGAAGGCAGGGGATCGAAAGTTCAAGCTCATCCTGGGCAATTTAGTGACCTAGCGAGACAAGAGTTTGAAATAAAAAACAGAAAAGCGTTGAGGATTTAGTGTGAAGGACCTGGGTTCAATCCCCAGTCCTGCACTGCCTGCCCTAAAATTTTGTTTCATTCTTGCTTGTATTTGTTGTTACCTGTCCTTTTTTTTTTAAAGAGAGAAAAAAACCCAATAAAAATGATACAGAATTTCAAAGCAAGGTGATAGGAAATTAACAATGGTTATTATATTGCATACGTTATCTTCAAAGTAGTTGCTCAGATTATAAGATACAGGCATGCAAAACTGATCAAACAATATAAGCACTAATTTTTCCTTTCAATGAACTAACAGAAATTAGTAGTATAGTTATCTTAGCTATCTTGTGTGTATATGTATATATTTTTAAAAATTTTTTAATTTTTTAATTTTCCATTCCTTCTTTTTTCCTTTCCTCCATCCCAGTTGTTCTTTCCTTTTGAGCATTTTTTCCCTATCACAACATCTATTGTACCCTTTTGATCTTATTTACTCTTTCAGTTTCTTACACTAGGGAGACAATATGATATTTACACATGTGGGTCTGATTTATTTCACTTATGAGTATGGTCTCTAGTTGCATCCATTTACCTATAAAGTCCTTCAGTTTATCTTTCTTTATAACTGAGTAATACTCCATTATATAAAAATACCACATCTTTTGTATACATTCCTCAGCTGATGGACATTTGGGCTGTTTCCAAGATTTAGCTATTACAAATTGTGCTGCTGTACACATGGGCACACATATCACTGGTATGATTTCAGTTCTTCTGGAAAAATACCCATAGGGAAATAGCTGGGTTAAATGGGACCTCTAATCCTGGTTTTGTGAGGAATCTCCACACTGATTTCCACAGTGGTTTCATCAGTCTACACTCCCACCAACAGTGGAGAAGGGTTCTTTTCTTCCCACAGTCCCACCAGTATTTGTTATTGGTATTTGGTATTGGTTGATTTCTTGATGATAGCCATTCTGAATTTCTGCGGTGAGATGGAATCTCAGTGTTGTTTTAATTTGCATTTCTTCAGTGACCAATGATGCTGAACATTTTTTCATGTATTTATTTATCTGTCCATTTTTAATTTTAGTTATCCACTGCATTGCCACTCCTTTATTTTTTAAAAGTATAGCTTTAACTGGGTGTGGTGACAAGTACTCATTATCCCAGCATGCTGCACAGGAGGTGGATATAGGAGGGTCACAAGTTCAAGGCAAGACCCAGTCCTCAAATGACACACTGAGTTTGTCAAAATTAAAAATTTTTGTGCTTCAGAGAACATTGTCAAGAGAGTGAAAAGGCAACCTACAAAATGGAAAAAAGAATATATATCCTAAACCATGTATCTGATAAGGGTTTAATCCAGAATATATTAATTGCTTTAACTCAACAGTAAAATCCTGTCCCCATTGAAAAGTGGGCAAATGTACATACTTCGCAAAAGAGCATATTCAAAGGCCCAATAAGTACAGAAAAGATGTTCAGCACTGTTTATTATTAGGGGAGTGCAAATCTAAACTACAGATTATGCTCATATATTAGGATGGAAGTAGTAGTGGTGATAATAATTAAACCTAACAAAATGGAAAAGAAGCATTGGTGAGGCTGTGGCGAAATGAAATCCTTGTGCATTGCTGGAGGGCATGTAGAATGTATGGCAGCTGTGGAGAACAATACGCAGTTTCTCAAGAAGTCAGACATACAGTTATGTGGCTCAGCACTTCCCTAAGTAACATCCATAGGAATTGAAAGCAGGAATTTAAACAGCCTAAAATACCAATTTGTTAGCAAGATTATTTGTATTAGCCAAAAGGTGGAACTAATGCACTTGCCCACCAACAGATGAGTAGGTAAAATGAGGTGTGTACATGCATTTTAACCTTTATGGAATGACGTTCTGAGACATGCTACAGTACAGGTGAAACGTGAGGATATTTTGCTGAGTGACATAAGGACAGATATATGATTTCACTTTTATGAGGTACCTGGTATAGATAAATTAATAGCGACACAGAAAATAGAGATTTTCTAGGCTGGAGGGAGGAAGGTTCTGTTTCTTATGCTGAAAAAGTTTGGGAAATGAATAGAGGTACTACACATTGTGTCCAATGCTGTTGATTACACACATTAAAGTGTTTGGAGTGACATATCTTATGTATGTTACATCACCATAAAAAATACTGGAAAGACCAGAATGATACTGAATTAACAGTGTGAACATGAATTTTTGAAAGCAGTTACTGCTCTAACATTCATTTAATAACTGCTAGTATTATAAATATTTTTATGTACTTTAAAAATTAATGTTTATATTGTTTTAGACAATCCTTTTTAATATGTTTAATTTTTAAATATATTGATTGGTTATAGTACTGGAAACAACCCAGGGCTTTCACAATGAGCCATATCCCCAGCCCTTTTCTATTTTTTAAATGTTGAGACGGGCTTGCTTAGTTGCCTAAGCTGGGCTTGAACTTGGGTTCCTCCTGCTTCCACCTTCCAGAGTGCTGGGATTACCAGGGTGTACCACCACACCCAGCTGGAGCCACTCTCTTAAATAGATATCTTCTCAAGGTCTTGAATTACAAATTTTGTTTAAAAAGTGTTTTTTGAGCCAAAACAAAGGTTTTTCTCTTTGTAAATTAAAAGTGTTTCAAACTCAGGTTAAATCAGTGTGATAGCAAGATTTAAAACATGCTGCATGTTTAGATTTTGTGTCAAATTTAAGAATATTGGCTCAGAATTTAAAAATACCAATCATTATTTTATAAACCAAGATTATTTGATAATGCTTGTATATTTATTAATAATTTGAAGTAAGTTTTGGGGGATAATAATTGATCACATCTGTTGTTTTGCCCTGAGAACTGTGGCTGTTGTGCCTCAGCATTCTTTCACAAAGAGCGCCCCTTTGATCATCTCGTAGGTTTTTCAAACTTGTCTTTCCATACACTTTTTAAATTTTTATTTTATTTCATGTTTATTTATTTATTAGTGTTTGAGATTGAAGCCAGGGCCTTGTACATTCTCAGCACAGCACTATCATGATACCCCTCAGCCCCCATTTATGCATTATAAATAAAATCTATATGCAGAAATGGGAAGATGAGGCAATACAGTGATTCCTAGGAGCCACTGTATGTGCTGTTTTATACCTTTAGAGGAATCTTTCTTTGTGAAGCACTATCTTCTGAAAGAAAATACATTGATGGGGTGATTATGAAAATTTTCTTGGCTTTGCTGACTCAACTCTCTATAAACATTTTTGAGGTATATTCTTTTGTTTTTTACATCGTACTGTAGATTTACATTTTATTTCTTTTTTACTGGAAAAACAGAATCAGAGTATGAGGGGAAATGGCAGAAAACAGTATCAAGACTCACCTAGTCAAAAGAAAAGAACAAATGGGACCCATAGTCAACCAGCCAAGCAGCAGAATCTGTTGATGGTAAGTTAAACTCCAGTACTAAGTAGGTACTTACTCCTTTTTTGAAGTGGAGCAGGGTCCTTGTTCCAGCACATTAATGTTCATGGGTTTGTTCTTGTTTTAAATAATATAGTGACAGGATTTTTAAAGGAGCTAAATTATGCAGTGTTACATTTATTCACTAAAAATCTCTCTTTGGCCACTCTTAATTACAGGTTTGTAACATTCACTCAGTTGCACATCTAATTTTTCATTTTTATATGATCATTTATATTTTGAGTGAGAACACATTCCTTCTGGGTTTTTGACATTCTGTTGTATTTTCATTATTTTGAGTCTGCTGTGGTACTAGTACTTCGGTTCATATATTGGACTTCTTACTCCCATGTAGTTGTAACTAAGCACTGATTCATCAGTCTCTTAGCATCCTCCTTGCGTCCTCTCCACAGCCTCTGCTAACCAGCATTCTAATCTGAACTTCTGTTATATTTGTAGCCATTATCTTAATGAAGTTGAAAATCTGAGACAATTTTACAATTACATTTTTTAATTTAAGTTGATTAAAAATAAAACACTCATAGTGTCATTGTCATTAAAGTAGGTCTACACACAAATAGTTTTGAACATTTTATAGAATTTTCTTTCATTCTTCTATTTAGTATGTGCTCTACAAAATAATAATAGTCTAGTAGTATCCTCATTTATCTCTTCTGTAAATCCTAATATTTGTGTGTTGGATTTTCCTTTGATCGTTTCATTCATTTTTGTTTCATTTCTTTAATAAAATAGACAATAGTATTAACTTCAAACTTATATCAAAAACTATTTTATATAAATTCTGTGGGTGGTATTTACTTAGCTTGAGGTATGATGACTCCACCCACTGACATATGTTAGTATATGTCCTTTTATTTCACTCTACTCTGATAAAAGTATTGAAAAGAACAAAGAACAATCTTAAATCTTTTGATAAAATTGAATAATTATGGGGCTGGGGATTTAGCTCAGTGGCACAGCGCCTTCCTGGCAAGCACAAGGTCGTGAGTTCGATTCCTGGTACCGGAAAAAAACCAAAAAAAAAAAAAAATTGAACACTTGTTTCTAACAAAAGGTAGAGAAATAGTTTCTTTGGTTTTTTTTTTTTTTTTTTTTTTGGTTTTTCTCCGGTACCGGGAACCAAACTCACGACCTTGCGCTTGCCAGGCAGGCGCTTTTGCCGCTGAGCTAAATCCCCAGCCCCGAGAAATAGTTTCTTAATGATAATATTGTACAAATATTAATTCTCCACAAATTAATGTGTAAATTTAACTCAGTATCAATCAAAAGCCTTGTGAATTTTGGAGAAACTTCACAAAGGACTCACATTTGTCTAGAAAAAACTTGAGTAGATTTTTGAAAGTTTAAAAAAACAAGAATATGAGTAGTTTATAAATGAATGTGACTAATAAATGTATATAAAGTATTAAACCATATGTGTACTCTAAGAATGTAAATTAAAATAGGACACACTTCTCACCAAGTAGGGAAATATAAAAAGATTGTACAGTATTACTTGAGTGTATTGGCAAACCATAATTACTAATTGGTACATCTGTCTAGAGAGGGGCTGCCTACATAAAAAATCTAGAAAACTGCTTATTTTCCTGGAAGAGGCATTCTAAGAATAGACACTGTCCCCTTACTGTTCATATTAGTGAAAATGTGGAAATAATCTAAATATCCAAGAGTATGTTGATAAATGTAGTGTTGTGGATCTATGCAATAGACTATCATACTACCATTAAATCAGTAAAAATGACAGTGTAGGTTTGCATTTGTTGAAAAAGTATTTCATTCAAAACCTATTAGCATTTATAAAAGTTATAGAACTGGTAAGGATGTAGCTTGGTGGTGGAGCTCTTTCCTAATATGTGGGAGGCCCTGGGTTTGATCCCCAGCACGTAAAAACAACAAATAAAGAACAATAGTATATACTCTTTAATTCCATTTCAAAGCTATACAGTGTTTGAAACTATAAGCGTACATGCCTTCATTGGAAAAATAAACACTGCAGTGTTGATAGTAATTGTCTGTGAGTTGAGAAATGTACAGTTTTCTTTTTTTTATGGTGCCTCTGTGTGTAATCAGAACCAAAAAATTTTAGGTTCAAAACAGAAAACCCAGTGAAATGATGGAAATAGTACTTATTCTTGTTTTAATTTTTTTCTTGAGAAATCTGGTAATATATCTTCAGATTTTTTAATGTGAAAATAATCAGAGGCTGTTGTGCATGTATTTTTTTAAATAGAAATGTGAGAAGAAACTGCATCCACGAAAACTTCAGGATAACTTTGAAGCAGGCAAGTTAATTTGTATTTTGTAGAAATCTTTCTCACGTGGGATTTGATCTGGTTACATAACAGACTTTAGTAGGATTTGTTATGAACTGTGATAGTTACACAAGAAGAGTTGCATATGTTCTGTAACGAGTTCATGTATGTGGAGTTCTCTAAACATGAAATGAGTTAAAATGAATTAATTTAAAAATCAAGGTGAAATTATTTGTTCTATGTGCTATTTGTTTTCTGAATGTCAAACGTTGGTGCTATGCATGAATATTACAAGAATTTTATATGGATTAGGGTAATAGTGGTGGATCCTATAGCACGTGTTGTTTCTCTTTGAAAACAAAAGATATTAATGTATGAGTTGTTTTTTCTGAATTAAAACTTTAGTATTTGGGTTTAATTGCAGTGTTGGCCCTTTATGATGAATAAGTAGATTCTGGGTTGCAGTTTGAGCTTTTTTTTTTTTTTTTTTTTTGAGCATTCATTTCTAAAAGGTTTGCCATCACTAGCTTACAGGCAGTAGAAAGAACTAAGTATTGTAAAGATGAGGAAACCTTATTCTCACATGTATATAAAGAGAGCACTGAATTGACAAGGAAACTTGTTCTCATTTTGTTATGGAGGTAATGCAATCAACTTTCTAAGGTGATACTAAGGATAGGTTTTGTTACAATGATACTTGCACTTTTTCCATCTTTGGTTATGAAAGGTAGGCATTTTTGATTTGGAAACTAATCGTAATGAATGTAGAAAGTGTTTTGGTAATATTGATTTCATAGATGTCACTTGAAAGTACAGTACATTCTTCTGTTAGGTGCAGTTTTGAGTGGTATGAAACTTTGCATAATAGCTATGCATTTATCATTTAGATTCAAGGCTTTTGCATAGAAGACTCTCAAGAAGACATAAAAAGCATTGTGTCCCTATTTTAAAATGTCTGTAAATTAACCAAGATGAAGGCTGTCATGGGAAGTTCACTGTGAAGAAGTAGAAACTATGATTAAAGTTGAGTGTGATGTAGTCTCACTTGTTTACTTTTGCTTTTTGGTGTCACATCCCAGAAAGTCATTGCTAAAAGCTGTTTTGAGGAGCTTTTTCCTTTTTTCCTCCTGTTTCCTCTAGGGAGGGGTATGGTTTTGAATTTATTTTTGTGTGAGGTAGTAAGGCTCCTGTTGCCTTTCTATGGTGATACCCGATTTTCTCACCATTATTTATTGAAGAGTCTGTCCTTTTCCCCTCATTAAGAGTTTAGCATAGGGAAGTCATCGGGGTAGAGGTCCTTTTCATAGAATTTTTTCTGGCCACCTTCGTGACAGGGAACATGATAGGCTGATTGCCAAATCTAATTAACATGTGATTAGAAATCTGTTATTAAACAGAATCTCTTAAAAAGTATAAAAGGACTCTTGTCCTGGAAAGCCTCATTTCAGACTTTCTCATCTTAGCCTGTTGGACTCCATTCCAAACATGCTTTCCTGGTCAGGTCCCTTTTCTGTTAAGTAAATAAGTACAGCCCAGAGTAATTGGAGTTTTGTCATGCTGTGATTTTGAAAATTTGCGTTTTTCTTTGGTTTGATATATTGAAGATTTGGTAAAGTTTAGCTTTATTTTTCTGTAATTGTCATCTTTACAATTCTTTAAGGGTAATTGCAGTTTTCACAGTACTTTCATTTTCACCTTGCAAGAATCTACCATCATTAAGCCAGGCATGGTGGCGCACCCCTGTAATTCCAGCACTCTGGAGGCTGAGGCAGGAGGCTCACTGAGAGTTCGAGACCAGCTTGGGCTACAAAGTGAGCTCAAGGCCAGCCTGAACTGCATGGCGAGACCCTGTCTCAAAAAAAAGCGACCAAAACAAAAAAAAAAGAATCTACCATTATTTTGGCACAAAATGCAAATGTAAGAAGTAAAATTATGCCCATTTTATCAAGTGTCTTACAGGCTAAAGTTAAGTTTGCATATTTAGGTAGAGAAATAAGCAGTAATAGTTGAGAAACTCAGTTGAGTAACAGTTTAGGGAAAAGAAAATGTCTTGGTGGTTCTGCTTAGGTTAGATGTAGTTGCAGAAAGATGAATATATTCTATGCGTTTTCTTTCTCATACAAAAGGTGAAGGGCAGTTTTGATTCCTTACTAAGTTTCTTAACACATTTGTTTTGTTTTCTAAGCAGATGCTGTGTATGACTTGACTTGCTCCATTGAAGACCAGTTGCTAGAACATCCTGAGGAACAGTCTGTGGCATGTAATGGACATTGCAAGTTCCCCTTTTCGTCTAGAGCTTTTTTGAGTTTCAAGTTTGACCATAATGCGATAATGAAAATCTTGGACCTTTGATGGCAGCAGATGTATTGTAGAAGTCTCAAGATCAGAGACCTGTTGCATTTGAGCGGGTGTCTCCTCAAGCCTTACCTTTCTCAGGTGTTTTAAAGAAATGCAGGGAGGCAGTGTTTCTGAAGTTTTTTCTTTTTTCCCGAAGAGAAAGTAGAAATGAATTTGCACTGTAAATGCAGTTATAACCTTTTATCCGGTTTTACCTTTTCAGTGTTTGGAACAAGTTTTAAATTGGTTTTTTTTGGAGGGCATTTGTTCTGTGTGACTGTGGGTCTTATTTTGTATTCTGATCAAGAAAAAAGTATTTGAGTCACCAATAAGTAGCCAAGTTAATGAGAAGGTTCATTTACCCAGTGCAGTGATTGCAGTAGTAGTTTACTTATCTGAGATTTCCAAAGGAAACAACATATCCACTAGGTGAATGAACGTAAGCACTAAGATGTCACACCTGTCAGTACTGCCGCTCCTCTCTTGGGTGGCATTTGGTCCTTTCTCTGTGTCTAACCAGTGAGGCTCTCTAGGACTCTGGCGTGGAGTTTTGTTGAAGGGATTTATTTAGAACCAGCATCTGTACTGTAATCATGCGGAAAGGGAAATCTTAGTCCTTTATAAACACGAAATCTGAAGCCTGAGAGGGATTATGTTGATGTGGAGTTGATGATGTCATTTTGAATTGTGCTGCATGCAGTCAGTGAAGCTGTGGATGCTAAGCAGAGAGCACGAGGCAAGGGCCAGCAGTTACTTTGGGTCATGTCTTCACCATCTTGCCTGCCTTTGGTTTTGTACAGTGCTTTTGTTCTTATGAAAATTTACATATACCAGTTGTGTAAATATGTATGAAAAACAGAGATTATTAGTTTTACATTGCATATCAGTGTTGATTATAGAAAATGATGTTCTATTGGGTTCCAATTTACAGTAGTGGTAGAGAATGACATGCTCTTATGGCAGACTGAGGCCCCTGGACGATGGAGTCAGAAGGCATGGGGTACGCAGTTTACCTAAGTTCAGATAAAGCATTTCGCTAGGGAAAAACCAGAGCATGGAAGTAACACACACAACTCAATCCTACGAATGTATTTTGCTCCTTCAGGATTCTTAAATCCAAATAAAAATGGCAATGACCATTTTAAGAAGGATTTCAGCTATAATTAAGGACAATCACCGGAGCTTTAAGGAGGCATTACTTTTTTTGGCTGCATCTGACCTCGTGGGGGAGGGGAGACGGAGTGTTTGATGTATGTGTGTGACTGTCATGTGAGTTTTAAAAATCTTTTTACAAGTGGTATCCACAAAAATATATCTGCTTATAAATGTTACTGTAGAAATCTTTATTCTCTATAGGTGGCCCTCTGGGACTTTTAAAAGAAGGGCTATTGTAAGGAATTCACTTGGTATTGCTACTTTGCTTTAGCTTTTAAGTGACTCGATTTTAAAAGAGAAATTTTATTTATTATTGAAAGTGTCACTGTTGGTGCTAAGCAGAATTCATAATTACAGCAGTGCGTTTAGAGTTAGGTGTCCATAACCCTGTATCTTTTAACATGACTAATTCGTGAATCCTGTGACCTGTGCTTTTTAATGCATTACATGATTGTATCTGAAAGTTCTTTGTTCTTCTCAGAAGTACAGCTGCTCTGCTCGGGTCTCCTTGAGCCATATTTGTAGTTGGTCCCACCATTCCAGATTTCTGTTTAATTTTTAAGGGAATGAAATCTTTGCCTAACAGATAAATCATTTTTACTTATTTACTGTTGTCTGGAAAGTATTTGATTTTTAGGGTTTTTTTTTTAACACATGACTTTTTAAAAAATGAATACTTTTGGTCAGTCTTTTTGGTGCCTGTGGAGTTAGATTTTTCAGCCCCCAATACTAAAAAGCGAAAGAGATTAGTTACCAGAAGTATGGTTTCTAATGTGGCTAAGCGTTTTCAAGAACCAACCAATTATTGTTTTAATTACAGTAGTTATTACTGTTGTGCTGCTTCATTTAATGCACTGTGGAACAAACTAAGGTTATGGTTGGGATGCAGTTATGATAACTTCAGGCTTTTAACTCTCTTGACAGGTTGAGATTAAACATGTTAAAAGTGTGTATGATGTGACTTAACTATGCAGAATAAATGTTTAAGTGGATGTACCTGTTTTATGTACATCTGTTTTACTGCTTTTCAGTGTTCAGGTTACCTTGAGATACGCCATGCTTAGCACAAGACTAGATGTTTTTGTTTAAAATACTTTGGCATGGTTTGAGGAAATCATATGATAAAGAAGTATGCTGAATATGCAATAACTTACTTCTGTTGAGTGCTGCATTTTAAAAATCTAGAGAAAAGTAGTTACAGTTTCATTATTTTTATGTGTTTGAGTGAGATAGATCTTTAAATTCTCATTTTAAATGTTCTTATGTTCCAGCCATATATGTTCCAAAGTGCAGTGCACTGTGAATCTTGTTTTTTAAAACTTTGTAGGTGCTTTTATGTATAACTTTAATGATTTATAGGCTGTTAAATGAATTGTTTTTGTATTTAATCATTGTGATCCAAACAGTAAGGATGCAGTTTACATGCTTTCTACAAAAAAAAAAAGAGAAAAAAATGTAAGAAATAGATGGTTTTAAGATTTGATGTCTTCCTGAGACATGAGCATTTGAAGAGGTCTGAGAACCTACTAGACCTTTGGTAGCAAAGGTGAAATTTGATTAAAGATGTTAAAAAATTAAGCTCAAGTTTTGTGTTTACATATATTTATATAAAGGATAAAGCCTTCCAGTGCTGTCAGAGAATTTTTGCTTACTGCTTGTTCTGACCTTTGAATATCATTATTTTTGTATTAAGTATCAGTAAGTGCAGATAACAAAGATACATAATGATTTCATGCTACAAGATTGGGTTGTACTTAATTTAGCTTTAGTACTTTAGTACTTTGTATTGTCTTTTTATTCAAGAACTCAAATTAAATGAATGACATCCTTCCATCGTAGGAATTAAATTCCATTATAAAACTCAACATTCTGTCTTCTCTAGAAAAGTTAGATGTGTGTGCGTTACGGTCAGTTTGACTTCCTATTCCCTTACTGCTGCCTTTGTCTGTATCTCTCCCTCTCTCACCTTTAACATTTACAATACTTACAGTAAGGAGAGCAAAATTAACTATAAAAAATTACTTTTTTTTAAATTTAAAAATTAGACTTTTTGCCAAGTTGTTTTTCTTACTGTGATGCCTCTCTTGGCTTTTATCTTTTCTTTGCATCAGTGAACCTCCTTGCTCAGAGACTTTGTTTTCAATGACATTCACTGTGTGTTTGGATTCTCTGAGGCAGTATTTTCTTTGTATATTACACTCATAATTACGATCATTAATACTAGGTCTTTGTGACTTTGACTTCAGTTATCTTCCAGCTTGGGGAAGGATCTCAAATGTATTATTATAACTTTAAATTGATGATAAGCAAAACAAAGCCATTATTTTGCTGAGGTATTCTTTTCCTTTATACACCCGTCTATGGGTCAACATTAGTAAAACTACCGTTGTGGTAAACCTTGTTCCTGACAGCTTGGTGAAGCCTGGGTAGAATTTCTCATGTTACGTCCCAGGATTTTAAAGTGCAGTACATAGTTGCCAAAAATTCTGAAAAGAAGCTTATGATGGAACTTTTGTGCATCTTTTTCCCCCTAGAATTGAATTACTCTTGAGGCCTGTACCCTTGGGCCCGAAGGCAGCAGGTTGCAAATGGTTCATCTCAAGCTTCATCTCATGCTATATTCAGAAAATAACGACAAATTACTATTTTAAAACAAAAGTTCCCATTTGAAAAGAGAAGATAGCTATAGTTGTGGGGAGGAAGAGTCTAAAGAGCAAATTGTACAAGATGTATCAAAACTCAAGCTGTGTGATGCACCTGACAGAAATGTGATCATTGCCTGGTTTAGGCATAGTCTAATATATATGATCATTGCCAAATATTTTCGATCCCTGAAGGAAGTGGGGTTTTCTCTAGATATGACTGCCTAGATATGACTGCCAAGCAATTCAGTGAGTCAGAAGTCGTTTTCCTCACTTTGGAGACCAGCGTTTGGGAGCCTGGTTCTCCCTGTGCTGATCGCCACAGAAGTAAGTGCAGCCACGCTGAAGTACACAGATAACCCAGAGCACGCAGAGCCAGCTGTGGGCAGCCACGCACTTGTCCTGAACGGCAACTTGTTGCTCATCAGCTACTTTCTTTGTGACAAACTGCAATTATTGCTCACATAGCAGTCTGTAGCTGTGGAAGAGTGGAGCTGTTGTGAATGGGAGTGGACTTTGTGCTCCTACTTCAACGTGAAATACAGGGAAATGTTCATAATGGAGTGTACTCTGGGTCCCCAGATTCATAATATCACCAATAACAAGATTTCATTTCCTTTAGTTCTGCAGTTAGCAGAAGAGATGGCTTATCCGTATCATAGCAGCTTGAAAGCACAATCTAAAAGAGACCAGCCTTTCCTAAGGTGTTGTATTAGCTGAGCGATGTTACTTAAGGGTGCTCTGAGGAAAGAGACTGAATGCAGAAGTAGTTGTGGGTGGTGTGACTTTGTCTGCTTAGCATACTTCACTAGAAGAGTTAAGGCCCTAAATATATATTTAGGAGGTACACAGTTGGCTTTTTTTTTAATGACCAGTCTTTTGAGTGCTATGTTTAAAGACTTCCTTCCTAATACTTTTTCTTAGTCTGTTAGGCCAGGAAGAAGCTAGTAAGTCCTGGTTTTGTTTTGTTTTGGGTTTCCTAATGATTTGTCCCTTCTTGGAACACCCAACACCCTGTGTTTTCTTTTTTTCTGTGGTATCCCTGACAGTGGTATCAACCACTGTCAGAATTTGCAAGTAGTGATTTGCCTTCTGGAGAAGGTGACTTCAGTTTGACCGTTGGGCCACAAACAGGGCTGTGTACACCTGTGTTCTTGTGGCGCTCAGTGCACGTAGCTGTCAGATTGGTTTGAGAACAGAGAAAACTGTGGTTTTAGGGTAAAATGGAATTTTACCCTAAATTTGACCAGTATTTGCTGGTCTTTGCGGGGTCTTCTTAGCATAGTGGACTTTTTGAGGTAGGTAACATTTTAATCTACTTTTAGTGAATCCACAATTCTAAAACAATATAGATACACACACTGGCAAAATATTTGGGGCACAACTCTACATTGTCGTATCTCAAGCTTTAAGAAATTAACACATGCCTTTTTGTAATATTTAGGAATAAATTATGAGTGGCAGCAAATGAAAGCAAAGTAAAGGTTCTCAACTGAATGAAATTTAGAAAAGTAATCACTATTCCTCAGCCGTTTGGTTGATGTTACTACTTTTGGAACATGAGTAGCAGTGGACTTGCGTTCTCCATGCACTGATAGAAAAGCACAGAAGACGCATCTGTGAGAATTCCTGCATTTCACTACTGTCCTAGGACACTGCTGTCTCTGTGTTCATTTTAGGTTTATGTGTGGATGTTGCACAAGTAACGATCAAATGTCAAGTACAAGTGTCTAAAGAAGTAGGACTTTAATTTCCCTTTTCATTTAAAGTTAGAACAGGAGATGGCTAATCTCACACTCACAATATTATTTTTCTTCAGTATCAAATAGAAAAGGACAATAAACCATGAACTGTTTTGATTTACATTTTTTTCTTATATTTTTGATGTTTGCTTACTATCTTAAAACCTTATTGTACTTAAAAAGAAACTTTGTTAAGTACTGATTTATCCTAGATCTATGTACAGTTCAGATTTAATTTTGTGTGTTGGCTTTAATGAAACTTTGAAAGCATCTTATTTCAGAGTGATTAATCAAATAAAGTGTTTATATATTAGTTAAAGTGAAATATCTTAAAGATTGTCTTTCATCTAACCAAAATAGTGCATAGTTTAGTTTGAAAGGAAATAATTGGTTTTTTTATACACTGTGCCTATTTCTAAAGATTTGGTGGCTTTTTACATTGTTGTGAAAACTAGATAATGCTTATGGAAGATAGTCTTAAACAATTTGGTAGTAAATTTTAGTCTGAAAAATAGGTATTTATGCTGATTTATGTTGAGTTATTTTTGTGAGATATGAAAGTGGAAGGTAAAAATTGATGAAATGGTTTTGCTAAATATATGAAAAATGAGACGTATGACTATATAAGAAGTGAAAAGAACTTTAGAGTAAATGTGATATTTTGATAGATTTGTAAACTTTATTTCTCCAGTAATTTTGTGTTATGTGAAATCACTTAACATTTAAGTTTTGCTTAAATTATAGCAGCGTTTTATTACTTTACCTTTCAGGGCATTTTAATGCCTGTGGAAAGACTGTATAAGTAAACCCTTCAAGTGGTTCTGTCTACAGTAGCAATAAAGTTCTTGCTGGTTTTTTCAGTTGTCAAGCAGAGCCAATAAAGAACCCCAAAATACCCATTGAGTTTACCTTGTAGTTACAAGGATTGAAACCTTTAAAACAGATTTACTTCTGGATTTATTACACAGTGGTTCAACAATAGCTTTGCCTTTTCCCCTCAGTATTAATAAAAGGAGTTGAGGACTGATTTTAACTTATCTTGGGTATAACTATCACAAATAAAAGATTTCAAGTGACTCATGTTTCTGAATTGAAATTTTAGTGTTTGCAAGAGCAGTACACTTCCAAAGACTTGGAGATGTCCACTGAAAAGATGAATAAAGTCCAATATCTTAATGGTTTTTGTGCTCTAAACTTTTGTAAGCTTTTTGATGTAAATAATACCAATTTAGAAACTAAAAACTCTTATCAAATACAATTATGAAAGGTTGCTCAAATACTGGTTTTTTCGTAAAAACCTTATTCTGTTAAATTTAGGCAATGGAATACCAATAAAATTGGCTGCTTGGGTAGTTTTACCATCCCAACTTCTGCTACTGTTAGTTGCTACTTATTATGCATTGAGTTACTTGTATTTTGGTTACTGTCTCTGGACCAATAAAAAATAGCGACTATGATAAACGTGTTATATTTATATAACAGGAAGAAATATTAAAAGGTAGAGTATGCCCGAAAATGGAGAACTGGTATGTATTCCTTATCTCAAAGAACAGTTTGTTGCTTTAAAACAAGATTATAGAGAAGGGGGCTGGGGATTTAGCTCAGCGGCAAAGCGCCTGCCTCGCAAGCGCAAGGTCATGAGTTCGGTTCCTGGTACCGGAGAAAAACCAAAAAAAAAAAAAAAAACAAAACGAAACAAAGATTATAGAGAAGGGCTTGAGATACGAAGTAGATATGTAAAATTGAGCAATTCTTAAAATTGTACTATAGCACTAGGCTTCTCAGTAGAATGCTTGCTTCTCTTTGGATCCTGGGGGAAAATTAAGTACTATGTTTCTGATCTATAAAATCGCAGGTGTAATGATACAGGACTAAAGTACTATCCTTTTCTTATCACAGGTGCTTGGTTTTTGTTCTGTAGTGGGAAACTGACAACGTAATGTTCTCTGACAGATGCATTACAAAGCTGCTTGACATCATGTATAATAGAGTCATATGGTACTCCCTTGTACTTTATCTTCCCTGTTTCAGAAGATAACCTCCCAGGTGTGGCAAGCTTGAAAAAGCGGCCAAGTGAAAACTGGTGATAAATGAGATTAGGCTGTACATGGCTTGAGCTTTATTTTTAGCTCTGTTTCAACAAGGGCTTTTGATTTAATGTAAGTATTTCAGGTTTGGTATTTACATGGATTACAAATTATTTTATAGGACAACCTTACCCTTTAATTAAAACAGTATAGCATAGAATTAGAAATATTTATTCAGAATATAAGAATGTTTGTAAAATATTATAAATGTCTCTGTATAAATAAATGGAGTTCTTTCTTTAAACAATTGTATATCAAATAACAGAGTAGCTATTTTACAGCAGCTAAAACTAAAGGCATCTGGGAACATTTAAAGCATGTAAGTGAAGAATCCCAAAAAATTACAAGGTATAGTAAAGTACAGTGTTAAGTAGCAACTTCAAAATGACTTTCAGTACAAACAGCAGAACAATACTGACAAATGCAAACTTAGACACATGTGCTTTCACAACTGACAATACATTCAAGAAGGTTTTCCTAGTAATTCAAGTGGTGTAAAAGTAGCACATTTTTAAACAGGGAACTTAAATCTCATGCAAAGTAAGTCTTGACAAGCTAAAAACTGATTAGACGTAGGAAAGAAGTGAACATGTCTCATAATGTTTGCATTATGTTGAAACAAAAGCAGATTGTTAGGGGCTCTGACTTATACTTGGCCATTCTGACATGAGCACTGTAAGTGATTATGAGTCCTGCAAACAGCATTTTCCCACAAGTTGATCGGGAAAAAGTGCAAAGATGAGTAGTAGAGCAAGAACCACTTAGATGGGGCACCAGTGTGCGTGTGGGGGAATTACTGTATACGAGTTGCTCTGTTCTGCCAAGCTGGCATTTCAGACGAGTAGCAGACTAATGACTATGCAAAGATCGAATGCTGCAAGTCAAGGATGTGGTTTCCAAAAGCAAATTGCTGTTTCTGGGCCCGAATGATATTTTTTTGTTTTGTACACATGAAAAATCAAGTGTGGTTGAATTAATCAAATATAACCACCAAAAATAGTTACCTGCGTGTGAAACTGTGTTTCTCTACAGCAGCATTAGCAAACAAGGATATATATGAACCACTGTGCTCATTTCAACTTCTTAAATTTTAAACTGAGTGAAGTGCTCTCTAATGCTATGGTGGAAACAGCCAGCATTATATGAACTGATAATTTTGGTTCCAATTCTAAAGTTCTTTGCATCAAAGGCATCTATCAGTGAATAGAGAGAGTAACTTCTGTGTATGAAACAGGAGATACTTCAGAAGGCTACAGTTGAGAGCAAACTTCAGCCTCACTTATATATAAACACAAGGTTCAGTTATGGATACACTTCAAAAACAACTATGTAATGAAGAGAATTTTTTTTTGTATCATGTTACACCTGTTATACTAACTATAGAAGAGTTTGCAAGCCTTAATCAAAGGTGGTGATTATATCATTCCTTGTCAAAATAGGCTATTCCATTGGATAAATAGAAAAATAATTGATTTCTCCCAAATGTTTTACAGTATTCTACAAAGCTGTCATGTCCCATCGCAAAACAAAAATGTTACATATGCGCTATCTGTCCCCCCAAAAAACTCTGGCAATCCTATGGCTGAACCCTAATTAACTACAGTGCATCAGTTCTCTCAGAATTGTCTCACTGTTCAGGTTCTCAATGCTTTCTAACTACAGCTCCAGTTGCTGCATCTAGAAGTCGGTGAAAGCTGTAAGCTCAGCATGGATTTTGTAGAATGCACGTGATGTACTCCCATTTAGGCATCTGCAGCTAATTTAAAGCTTCCCAGAAGAAAGGACGCTTTTAGGTGTCACTAATAAAATTTGGGATTTTTTTTTGTTTCTTGACACCTTTCTCATTGCTTCATTTACAACATGGGCATGATGCTCCAAATTCTTAAGCAGTTTTAAGTTAAGGAAACTGACCCAATGAAATAACTGCAGTATAATTTTTGAGGGCCATAGGAAATACCTTAAGAAGGAAAATGGCAGCCATGGAAATTTAATTCGAGTTAATGACAGGCAGCCCAGCCTTGTTCAGGTAAATATGAAGGTTTTTTTTTTTTTTTTTTTTCCATTTTAGATATCTGTATACAGCTGGGAACTAGAAAGCTTTCATACAGTTTCTGGTTTTTCAGGCATAGCAAAATGCTTACTACCCTCATTGTAATTGCTTTTAGGAAAAAGTCTTTAGGCGCTTAACTTCCCTTTCTGGAAGGGAACATCAGGGCTCTAATTTAGAGTTCTCCGAGTTCAAAGTTTCCAGTAAAATACTGCTGCAGGCTCAGAGGAAGACTGAGAAGTACTACATGCATCTGAAAGAATTAAGCATTGATTTTAATTGGCACTTAATTTTTTTTATTAACCTAACATTCCTATCTCAGGCAGCATGACTATTAACTAGACATGTCAGCAGATGAGTAAATATGAAACAGTTAATTACCTCCAGCAGTAGTGAAATATCTAGTGTACATTTAAGCCTACAGCATGACGGGGACAGTGTGGTAAATCTCAGATGTTTGATCACGCATTTAACCATAAATAACCTGTGATGTAAGTCTCAAAAAGGAATCTGTCTTGCTGCAAGTTTGTGGCAGTTACACATGTGATTAACATCAGATCCAGCTGGTAGGCTTACACACTCCGGCTATGAACGCAAGTATCTTGTGCCTGTCATTTCTGCCCTCACTGGTTTCATCAGCCTCAATTCAGCAGTGGGAAACATATCCCTTTGCTCTATGCTTATTTCTGTAGGCACCAAAGACTGAACAGTGAAGGGAACCGCTTAACAGGGGAAACTAGCAAAGAAACTTAAGAAGGCAATTTAAAGTATTAAATTGGGAATTAAAAATCAAGGTCATTGTTTTTACCCCAAAGGAGATGTCAATGGAAATCAGCTCCCAGAGAAAAATTCAGGTACAGCAACGTTATACAAGAGGGAAAATTATGCAGGTACCTGATACCATTTAGTCAGTGCAATTCAGTAGCTTCCATAGCATAACCAAGTGTCTGCTACTTCACCTTTTGACAAAGATTCTTTCTTAGGGAGAATTTGAAAAATGAAATCAACTATTATAGAGCTTTTTATAATACATATTAATAGAAGTGACATTTTTGCCTGGGAAACCGTTTTCACCCTGTCACAGCACAGAAATATGTCAAGCTGTACACTGACACGAAGACCTGGTAAGATGATTTCTGCTATGGCCCTCAGAAGAGCTGAGGCCCCCTCTCTCTGGAGGAATTACAGGGCCTAAAACGGTGGGTTCTTTGATTTTTACATGCAGCAGCAGGGAAGGGAGGCAGAGGTCAGCGGGCAGGATGTCAATCCTGCTTCAGCTACACTTTTCAGGATCGGTGAAAACTATTTGATTGACGCCTGTTCAGTTGCAGGAGCAAAAGCCATGCACTTCCCGGTCTGCCTAGCACTGTTGGGGAGCACTTACAAAGTGGCTCCGAGCGGATTTAATATTAACCAATTGGCTCTCTGCGTTTACTTGTGAGTTGTCTAAAGGCTGCAGCTGAAGATGTCTGGCTGCAACCCCAATTAACTGAGAGCAGGCCTCTCACTCCTACTGTGAAGGCCTTCCTGGAGATAACATAGTTCTCCTAAATTAACATATTACTTGGAAAAGTCCTGCCCAGATTCCTGTGTTTTCTTGAGTATCCTCCTCCTTTGTTTGTAAACCAAATAAATATGGGCTGCCCAGAGCAGTCTTGAGCTAACTCAGAGAATACTGAAGCTGTAAGGCAGTTAGTCCCTCCTGGTGCCCTAAAATCATTACATTGTCTCATTTATTTAAGCCTTCCATGTCCACTTGCTTAGGAGATTGCAGGCCCGATCAGCCTGCAATAACTTAGGGTTATTTAACCCAGTTTTCAATATAGGACAAACAGGAAAAATGGTGAAAACCGATTCCATCTAGTAAACTTTTGCATTACTTTACAGCTAAAACATGTTGCTCTTGACAAAATAAAGCTTTATACAAACGATGAAGATTGACTTTTTCAAGAATATGACTTGAACTTAAGACTCAATGAGCATGAAAATATAACAAAGCACCCAAATGCTGGTCCTTACAGATGCATACTTTTTTTTTTTTTTTTTTTGAGACAGAGCCTTACGGTTTGCCTCAGAAGGGTTGTTGCTTTCAGGGAAGAACTGTGTACTAGGAGGTGGCTGGAATTCCTTTCCCGGTTGCACAGAGGCTGAAGAATTTTTTGTGCTCTCTGAAATTAGATCAGCTTGTACTTAAAGCTCATGGACAGAAAAAATTTCTTGCAGTGACCTGCTTAGAACTATTTGTAGTTAACTATGACATTGGAACCCATTTCTCATAGGGGACTTGGGTAGTCTTGGGACTACAGAAAAATTCAGGCACTTTGGTCCTGCTTAGCCCTGTTAGCATTTTGGTTGAAACTGAACCTTTTATGCAGAATAAGCTAATCATCACCGTGTAGTTGAGGGGAAAAGCCTAAGAGCAGTCTCCTCCTCCTGCATGACAGCAGGTGCTCAGTGCCCGGCTGGAGGCTCACTAGTACTCAAGTAGGTGGGAGCAGTGCTGCAAAACATTCGCTATCTCCTGACGGCGCATGCCTTCTTGCTTTTAAGGGTAGAAGGAAAGAGGTCTGGAGCTACTTGTACTCAGGGATGAGTTCTGATTCAGCGGAATGCAATTCTGTATAGTGCCCCAAAGCTGGGGCGAAGTGCTAATACTGCTTTCCTGTTCTTAAACCCCAGGAGAACTTTAGTTGCATTACATGTGCTGTGATTCTCAACTCTTAAGTCTTGGCTATTCATGATTCCATCGAGAAGGGAAGATCTCAGAATCAAGAGGGCGCCCTTCCCATTCCTGCTTCTAAAATGTAAGGTTGAAGGGCATCTCTACTCTTGTGATACAGAATTGTTCAGCACATCTCTGGTGCCTACTTGTGACTGATGGGACTGTAAGTGCCATCCTAGGGCAGCAATTCGCCACTACTCGCCTTGGATTTCTCTCAGTGATGCCTCTGTAGGACAGCCAAGAGTTGATAATGTGGGACTTGGAAACCCAGTTCTTGCTGGAACAAGCAAGTCAGCACTCCTAGATGCTAGAGATACATACAGATCTGTGTCAGCATTTTCCCTGGGAGGAAGAGGAAAGAAAGAGAAATCGGAGATGCCAGAAGGTTAGCCCATTATCTACAAAAAAAGAAAGTAGACTGGAAAATCACAAAAACAAATGCACTGATACACAGGAAGCTGGAGACAGTGACTGCTTAAAGCCCAAGGGAGATACTACTGAGCACTGCACAGGGCCTTTGCTTACATACTGTCCATGGGCCAGGAGAGGGGAACCGAGTCCTGTGGATAAAGCCCACAGTGTCACTCACTGCCAGCCAGTGAAACGTGGCACTCCATCCACTTGCTGACCTATGTGCCGCCTCTGTCTTCCCAACAGGTCCTTGTCCTGGGGCCCTCCCTCCACTGGCCTGCTAGAACATAGCTCCAGGGATACAGCTTCAGTGCCTGAGTGCTGATTAAAGTGAAGTTTCATTGGTGTGTGGCCGGGAGTTCTCCTCCTCTAGCAGAGCTATTCTTTGTTTGAGCATTCTCACTTGGGTCTCATGTCTTTCCACCATGGCCATCATCTGAGACTCCAACTTCTTCAGCTTGTTTTGATGCTTTTTCTTTGCTTTTTCATATGCAGCCACCAGGTTGCTATGTGGGAATGGAGGGAAATGAGAGTAAAGATTCACCCTTTATAGCATGTGACACACTGTCCTGTTCGCTGGGTAGCCACATCTAGTGAGCACTGCTCAAAAAAGAGCTCAGTCTGCCTCTTACATAAAAATCTAAGCACAAAACCCAGGTACTGGCACTCAGTGTGTCATCTGCCAGTGTAACACGGATTAGTTCAGCCGCCCTGCTGGAGGCTCGTCACACTGACATTTTAGTAAGGCTTTACTAAGAGTGAAATCAGCACCCAAAACTAGCTAGACCTAAGGAGCAAAAGTAGCTGGATTCCAAAAGTCTGTTACTGTAAGTACAGATTGTGGCCCACTTGTTGCTCGCTCCACGGCAGCTGAGTTACAGGAGTGTTGCCATGAAATAACATTACTCAGCATCAGACCAAAGAGGCTGTCTTGTTTTTCAATTGTTTTTTACATTTCAGAAATTTTAACATAGTCAATTTCCACAAGTTTATTCACATGCAGGCATATATATCAAACACAAATTTTGTTCCCGGAACAAAATGAGACGTTGAATTTTTTGTAGTATCCATGATATCCATCCTGAAAAAACCTGTTTTCATTCATAACAGACTCCTAATATAAATTCACTGTATTATGAAGTGAAACCATTTTAATGTCCAAAATCAAACTACAAATACACTGCGCCATTCTCTGAAGGCAGCTAACCTTATCATTTCCAGCACATCTGCGGGGAACAGTGCTCATGTACCTCTGAATAACATGGTGACTGCAAACGCAGATGTGAGAATCCAGCTGTCTTCTATTAATCCAGACATTACAGAGATGTGCAAAACTAAATAGTGCCACTTTGCTAATTGTTTTTTGGAAAGTACTTTCTCATTCAAATATTTGTGTTATATCTAGTGAATTTGGGTTTTCTGGTAAATGAATTTAAAACTTTTAACAAGTTCCTCAGTTTATGAAAAGTATCAATACATTACAGGAAAGGAAGCTCTTTAAAATAGTTTTTATAAATGTAAAGGAATCCTGAACCCAAGGAAATTGGAGACTGTTGTCTTAAAATAGTATAAAGTGTCCTAAAGTGTCTGCTGGATGTTAAATGTCTCTCAAAGGGATCTGCAGCTAGTTCTGTTTTGAAAACACTGGCTTAAACACATTTTCTTGTATGGTCTCCAGAGCTGTCAAGAAGAGACTGTAGTAATCTCCTTTCTCGTTTCCCTTGGTCAAAGGACCCATCTTTACTGAGCATTTCTTAGGTTTCTGTGTGGCCTCCTGTGAGATGCTGCTCTGAGGAGGGGCAGGTGAGGATGCCCCACTGACCACAGCTCCTCTCCAATAGGTACAGAAAGCTCTCCCTGTGTCTATGGGTGGTATCCGCCCACGTAGCACTTGGGGGGACTTTTACCTGTTGGCCCGCTTTAGATCATTGACAAACTCTGCAGATTGCTGATGTCGGATTTCGCTGCTCTTGGTGAGTCTTTCCAAGGCACTCACGAGCTCTTGAACTCTGGCCTTCAGCTTCTTTTCTCTGTGTCAAGGGAAGAGCATGTTGCCATGAGTAGCTTGAGGTGACGGTGGAGGTGCCACTCCCCTGGCAGTTTTGGGAAGGAGGCATGTGTAGCTACCAAATCAAAAAGCCAGCTTCCAGAAAACGAGCTAGAAGGCTCCGAAGCAGCACAGCTTTCCTGGCTAGCAGGTTGAGAATAAACACTTATCCTGCCTTCTCCAAAGCTGATCTGAGCCTGTTCCTTGAGTGAGAGCCCTTCAGAGACCTTAAGTATGTGTCACAGGGAACATGGCAGGTGCTTCTGTGGCTGGCTTGCAAGCCCTTGGCTATGAGTGCTGCTGGACTACAAACCCATTTCCGTCTGAACCACTCAACGGCTCAAGAAGAGAAACCTCTGTCTGACCTGGGCTGCCTACCTTGGAAAAGTCCTTATCTGTTAAGCCGATAGACCCTACCTGGAAAAACAGAAAGGCAAAATGGAAAAGGGGAGGAGTGGAAATGACACTCATTTCACAAAGGACCTTGTTTCCTATTAAAGTACTTAAATTTGGTTTCCATTTTGGTTTCTCCTGCTTTTGTTCTGTGGTTCTTTACACTGACTGAAGAGTATGTGAAGGGTAGTGTCTGTGGTCCAGATCCAGAAACTCACTGCTTTCCCCTGGTTCCCACAAGACCTGGGCACAGCAAGAGTAACCAGCATCTTCCCTGGCGTCACACGAATGGTGCCAGCCTGCACCATAACACACCATGCTTAGCAGTCTCATTGTAGTTGGCTTGTTTCTCCAGTGGGTCCCCTGCACTGCACCCCGAACCTCAGTGACACCCTTCTTTCTAGTGCTGGTGAAAACTTCTTCAGAACCCTGTGCTAAGTACTTCCTGCCTTGAAACGTACTGGGAAACCAGCATTTAAGCAAAGGGATACCCCTAAAAAGATAAAGTATAAATGGCCTGATTAGTTCATAGGACAATTTGGTAATGCTTAGGGAAATCCTACCAAAGAATGAGCACTTCCTTTAACTGAGCAACTTGACTTTTAGGGCTTTATCTTACAGAAAAAAACAGGAAGACAGGTTCCCAAAGATACTTCAGTTATCGCTGGATTCCCTTCAGCTTTGGTTATAATAAAACAAAGAATGGAAAACAACCAGGGGAGTGGTTAAGTTAATCAAGGCATATCCATGCTATAAAATGCCTGCCCAAGAAGCCTCTTTATCATGCAGACCACCATGCAGTGAGGAGGAAGGTATCTCACAAGGTAAGTGCAAAGGCAATTCTAGTGTAGCATTTTGTAGGCAATGGAAATCTGAGTGTGTAACAATAAACTAGAAGCTAAACACCTAACTTAGCAACAGTGAATTCAGCGGCTTTTCTACTTTACTCTTCTTATTTCATGAGTTACATTTTTAGTTCTTGCAAGTCTTTATTGCTTGTAAGTTTTAGAATTTTGTGTCTTTCCTGTAAAGGGAGTCTCAGTTCTGCTTCCTGTGGGAATGCCAGCAGTAGGGTGGAAGGATCCTTCCAGATGCACAGCAGTTTGGAACCTGTTCTCCCTGGCTTCTCAAGTTTGATCTTTTACATTTCTGACTGTATGGCAAATCAAGCTCTTCAATCGAATTACTGAAGGAGGGAATTGCAACACAAAACCCCAGGCCTTCTTTTGCAAGGGAGGACAGAGGTCGGAAGATCTTTCAGGCCCTTAGTGCCCAGGGCATTCCTCAGTGAATACCTCCACCGCCTTAGCTACCCAGGGAGGTTGGAGCTGGGGTAGCTGCAATTGCCAGGGAGTCTCCCACTTCCTGAGGAATGCCTGCTCCCTGACCCTGGCAACCACCAAGCAGTTAGATCTGGTTGCATTTCCAACTGGAATCAGAGAGTGGCAGCATTTTCTAGCAGAAGTGAGAATGTACTGCTGGATGGGATTCCCTCCCTCCCCACGGCTTCCTCAGCCTTAGCAGCAGCCGGCTCCTCTCCAGCTGAGGCAAGGCTAAGAGCACTCCCACCCCTCTGGCTGGAAAAAATAGGGTAGAGTTATTCTACATTTATTATTGTTCTGACTCCTTCTTTCCAAATTGATTGTACAAAGGGGAAAAGAAATTGTGACCAGAACTAAAAATGTAACTCATGAAATCTACAACAAAAAGCCACTCAAAGCAGAATCACCCCTGCCTGCCTCCCCCCGCATCAGGTCCACACCCTACAGACCCCAGGGCAGGGAAATCAGGGCCAAAACACAAAGGCCTTCCTTCTCCAGCACCAGGCCCTCAGGGTACCACAGTGAGCTTTCCGGACCTGGCCAGCTCCAAAGGAAGAACAGAACACCAGGAAGACTGGAGAGGATCTTAGATGCTTCCCAGTCCCGCTTGGAACACTGCAAGAGCTCAGAGCATGCCCCAACCCCACCACCACTACACCCACACCCAAAACTGCTTGGGTCTAAGGGTGGGAGAGAGGGGTACAAAGCCTAGCAAGAACTGTCATAGATTTACTTAAGAGTTGCAAAGACAGGGTCAAACCTCAAACCTAAAATGGGTTTTACTTGTTTTCATTTGACAGGCAGATTCCACACTAGGAGCTGTGACTTCAGAATCACTTGCTTCACAGCATCTTCCAAACACTGTGAAGTAACAGCTTCCTTCAAGCTGTGCATCCCATCCAGAACACAGCCACTTGCCATGGCTATCAGAGTACTTGATGGGCCGCTCTCAATTGAGATGCGCTCTAAGTATAAAATGCACACTGGTGTTTGAGGCTATAAAACAAAAGGCAAAACACCTCAATTCCTTTTAAAATATCTATTGCTTTATTTTTTATGGTGCTGGTGACCCAAGCCAGGGACTCATGTTTGCCGGGCAAGCTCTCTACCACTACATTACATTCCCAGCATGAGGTAATTTATACGGGGTTAAATGTGCTATTCAGATTACAACCAGGTTGGTGTGGAGCAGCCTTAAGCATGTTAGGCAAGCACTTCACCACTGAGCTATACTCCTAGCCCTACTAATTTTACATTTTAAAAAATTAGTGTGGAATTTAGAAAACTGTATGTACATGACTTGCATTTGTAGCTCAAATTACATTCCTAGCAGAGAGCAGCTCTCTAGAGCAATTGTTTAAAAGAGTATTATCAGTTTATTTTCCTGGATTCTGATTCAGCTGGTTTGAGTTGAAACTCAGGGATTGCAGCTTATGAAGTCCCCCAGGTCACTTGTTATCAGGCAAAAATGAGGAAACTGGTAAGGTAGAAGGGTTTTCCCCTGGGGTCTGAGGGCAAGCCCCCTGTGCTCCCAGGACTCCCTGAACCTAACAGTACATGCAAACCATACGCAGGGCCCTGCTAGAGTCCTAGTCTACCGCTTTCCTCACTCACAGGGTGACGTGGACAACAGAACTGCAGCCTGCCAATCCAAGTGACTTAGAAACCTCAAACTGGTCATGCCCTGTTCCATCTAGTTTCTAGTTCAGATGTGCTTGGGCTTCAGTTCACAAGAATTTATGCAGTCTGTGTATGTTCTAAGGCCAAACGAGCATTTTCTTAGGCATCATCCAGATGAGAAAGCAAAACAGAACACTGTATCTTCACGTCCCCCTTCAATAGTAATGCATCCGTACAGTGTTTTTTAGAATGCCCAGCACGGCGTAGTCCCTTCCTTCCTTGTTCTTGTCTTCCCAGTAGGTTTAGGCACTCACGAATTTAAACCTGTACCATCAAGTAAAAAAAAAACAATGCTGGATTACTATGAAACTATCAAAACCCAGCCTCCCGGTGTACACACGCATTTCAGTATGGGTCCCCAAGCGCAGTATTCAGGCCCCTCACCAACAGTGACCACAAAGAACCTATGAATCTTACTGCAACCATGCAGCCAGGAAAGTATTTTTTTTCTAACAAACAATTTTAAGCACTGAAAAATCTACAGGCGATTTGGGGGCAGCCTCCTGCTGGGAGGTTTAGTGTAACAAGGTAAACCAGCGTGGCCCGTCTGCTTTGGACTCTGAAGTACCGCATGTTGGTACCCTGGCAGCTGGGATGTACAGCTTTGTGAACAGCACTAAGAAGGCTGAATCCGCCCCCCAGTCGTTAGGCTGACAGGCGGTACTTCGTGATTAGAGAAAGTCACCAGGGTGGGCGCCCAGTCCTGATGAGTGCAGCCGGCCAGGAAACCTTTCAGAGAAGCTGTAATCAAACCAAATCACGGGGAGTTGTGGCCACGCAGCCACAAGGCCAGAATTTCTTAACAATTGCTAATTATGTGGAATTAGAACTGAGAGAATTGTCTGCATATGTGGTTCCTCTCCCTTACCTTCCACCCCAGTCTGGCTTCTGCTCCGTGGAAGTGGCCCGGTCACACCACTTGGGCCTCAATGCCTCTGTGCTTCCTTACCCAGCAGCAGCAGCATCTGCACGCTGGCCACACCCGCTCCTGTGACCTGCTCTTCACTCCCGGGGAGTGCGCACCTGCAGTGAGTGGACTTCACCCTCTACTCACTGTCCCCTCGGTGGTCGTCCACCCTGCTCTCCACACCACCTCCAGATGCTGGGAGCTACCTAAGCATGTGGGCCTGGACCAGAGTTTAATTTTACTTTTAATTCTGTCCACTTAAATTTAGTTTCCTAAATACTACCTAAGTGCTAAAAAGTCCAAATCCTTATCTCTAGACCCTTCTTCGGAGCTCTGGACTTGTCCAGCTGATACCTCCATTAGCAGGCATCTTCAGTTCAGCATGACGAGAGCAGAACTTTTCCAATTTCCACCGAATCCACTCTCTCTTGTGCGTCAGCAAAAGGCAACAGCACTGGTCTGGCTACCAGCACCGTCCTGGAGGGCCCTCACCCCCACTGTTTCCCTCATCCTCTTGCGTTCTGCCCCGAGTATTACCAGGCTCCAAGCTGCCGTCCTTTCTCACTTAGATCACAGTGACAGCCTGACTGGCTTCTCTGCTTCTGCCTTTGCCCTTTCTGATCTGCTTTCACGGGACGGCCAGGTGATACCGTAAAAGGACAGATCAGATCGCGTTATTGC